CTGAGACAAAAGGCAGCTTCAGTAGTTTTACTTGAAATGTCAAGATTGACAATCAAGATTGGTTTGCTGCGCGAATGATCACTCTACAATACTTGTATCATTAACATCATATTGCTGGAAAAATTATTTCAAATACAATTTTTGTGGGACACAATTTTGTCTAGATAATCAGAGATAATAAAGTCGAAGAAAAGTGAAAGACAAATATTAATGAAGCGGCTGGCGTCGTCCACGGCAAGGCATGTAAGGCATGCCACCTTCAACAGCAGGCGTTCAACATGGAAATATCAAGTCGCAACTGGACCGAGCCTATCAGAATTTCTCCCTGAAGCTGCAACTCAAAAGACGGTAGCCAGCCCCGCAGATCCACTTAAGCAGCTTCGCCAGCTTTTGGCTGAATTTAAAGAGATGGTAAGACCTGAAAGTGGCACAAAGGCAGATAGTTTGATGGTTTGATTAATCTTTCAAATGTTGTGCATTGCAGCCAGAACGGAATTTAGCCCAAATAGTTGACCAATTTGGACGTCAACATACATATTTACGTATCTCTCTGACTGAACGTTGCAACTTGCGTTGTCGATACTGCATGCCCGAGGATGGAGTGACTTTACAATCATTCGAAAATCTTCTAACCACATCCGAGATCATTCGATTGGTCAGTCTATTTGCTTCTTCAGGTGTCAAGAGGATACGATTGACGGGTGGGGAACCGCTATTACGACGAGACGTAGTGGAGCTTGTAGCTCAATTACGGGCTGTTCCAGGTATCGAATCTGTAGGCATCACAACCAATGGATTATCTCTTCAAAAGAAGCTCCGAGCGTTGCAAGAGGCAGGTGTGGATCGAATCAATATCAGCCTCGATACGTTGCAACCAGATAAATTCATGCACATCACTAGGCGACAGGGATTGACACGCGTGATGAAATCGATTGTCGAAGCGCAAGTCCTCGGTTTCTCACCTCTTAAGATCAATTGCGTGGTACAACGGCACTTCAACTTGGATGAAATCGTGGATTTTGTTGGTTTGACAGAACTAAATAGAGTGGACGTGCGATTTATCGAGTGGATGCCATTTGATAGTAATAGGTGGAACGACGAAGCATTTGTACCGTTTAAAGAAATGATGGGACTGATCCAAACGAAATTTCCTACAGTGAAGAAGCTGAAAGACGGATCAAATGATACTTCAAAAGCTTTCTGGATTCCTGGATTTAAAGGACAATTTGGCTTTATCACATCTATGAGTGAACATTTTTGTGGCTCGTGCAATCGACTTCGTTTGACTGCCGACGGACACTTGAAGGTTTGTCTGTTCGGCAATACTGAGGTCAACTTGCGGGATGCAATGCGCTACGGATTTGCCGACAATGATATACGCGCCATTGTTGATATGGCAGTAAAACGTAAGAAGTTTGCACTTGGTGGTCATGGTGATATGTATGGCTTATCAAGGGCAAAGAATCGCCCAATGATTTTGATTGGAGGCTAAAAAGCTTTGCTCAGGCATGGTCTAAAAACCATATCTGCAGGATTGTGAGAAGTTCTTCATAATCAGGAAGTGAATTTCACACTACTGGTGATCATTCTGATCAGTTTTTGGTGCATACTCTCTCGGGCCACGTATGAATCCATGCTTGCTCCCTTAAAACATGACATTTTGATGTACATTTCTCTGCCCACAGTGTTTTCCAGCAATTTGCGTGAAACTCACTATTCACGTACTTTGTGTTAATTTGGCACGAGCCATAGATAATTGCTGACTGGGTATAAGTTGTATTGAGGCACAACATGAAAAGTCCACAAGAACATATGACCAGTCCTCAAATGCGAATTGTGTCCTGGTATGTATCTCAACATCGTTCACTTTTTCGCTCTCGCTCTCGTTCTCGTTCTCGTTCTCGATCTTGCTCTTCTCATCTCAACCCAACTTCTAGCGACGATTTCCACATTCAGCAATTCTCGACTATATTGTTACTATGTATTTTCGACGAACATTGTTAAGGACAGAAAGTGGGCATTAATACTCGATCAGCAATATCTCAAATCGATTAAAAACAGCTGCAAGCGTTACCCGCCTCGATCTGCACACTGTGAAATCCGAATAACCTCGGTCGCGAGAATTTATCTCAGTGAACGTTGGTCCAAACACAAAGCTACGCTACCCACTCCATTTATAAGCTCACCACTTACTTGATGCGCCCGCACTGGAAGTGTCTGTCTTCTGCAAAGAGGCATCTTACATTCAAACATTTCACCTTTTGAATACCGGAAACAACGCTTTCCACTTGCACAAATTGGGATCAGACCAGGACATCGATGTTCTGGATTGCAATACTTGTGCTGGTTGTCAGGTTGTAGCAATTAAATGATAATTAATATTTTCAGCGCCAAAATTTCAATTTTTTTTCATTGCATGCTGGAACAATATACATGGTAAATCGTATCAAATTACATCAAAAATATGTGAATCTGAAAGAGCAAAGCTAACTAATACTTAAATTTGTTAGGATTTGCTTTCGAAGGTATGCGACCGAACCTCTGTCCGTTTGCTATCGCAGACTCCTAAGTCGTGCGAAGTACCCCGCAACCTTAAAATATATGCAAAATTTGGAAAAATATTCCAACACAAGGTATTATCAAAAAAACATAAAAACTATTCGAGAGACTACATTTCTTTCTTTTAATATGCAGAAACCCACACAAAAGACACAAATAACTGTTATCATTGTCTTAACGCAGTAGTCAACCTCGGTAAGCTGAACATTATTAAACGCGGTGAAAGGCCCATACATGTTTGCACATTAGCTAAAAGTGAAAATTCTTTTTTACAGCAGCTCTTCTGCATATTTGGCTAGCGTTCTAGTCTAGAAATCCCCAAATGACGAGTCAAATAGAAGTCCAACATGTCGCACTTTAGTGTGTCATATGGCGGAGACGTACTACAGAGAATTGAACAGGATTCTGCTTGGACCAGCTCTTGTCCACCACGACTATCAAGTTTTGCTATGGATCAATAAGTAGGGCCTATATGGGAGCGGCGACAACACAATTATGATTGAAAGGAGCAGACGACCACAACTAGCTGTTGCAATTTCTAGTTTAGTTACCCTTATAGTCGGGCGTGGACTATAATGTAAACGCAGCGATCATTTGAGTGATGCATAACAGCACCAGTTTGCTTCGACCATCACGCGAAGACTTGGTCGCCTTCGTATTGCCGTGCTGCCATTAATTTTTTTCAAGTTGCATTGCGCGCTGCATTTTGTGCAGAAGGGGCCACTTTATTGCTACATTACTTCACCTCAATTGATCGCAGTATTTTGCCGTATCAAAGCGAAAACTTCGGTGTGCGATTTCCATGAAAACAGGCACGCGTAGATTAAGAAGCGAATACGTTATCGCTCACTTGAAAACAAATGAAGTATCAAAGTAAAAATTCTCTTGATCCTAATATGTAAAAGGGATTCAGCCAATCTTGCGTCCGAGCTTATAGATTTAAACACCAAATGTACTCGCCTTCCTTAAAGTTAGACCCGGAGATTTGTAACTGTTGAGCAGACAAATCACTGTTAAACATTCTGCCTTGAGGCGTGGCATATGTCTTCGCTTTACAAAGTACACCGGTATTAAAATCGTTCGAAGACAGACGGTTGCGGAGGCCATGTGCAAGGAGACTCGACATGTAGCCTTCGTGTCGGGATTGAACCTACAACTCCCGGCAACTTATCATCGCAAGGACTCGCTGTGTCATCTCCTCCTCGATTGGGATGTAAGTCCAATTTTTGTACTAATGATTGCTGCTCAGTCACCGCTGCTTGTATACCATGCAGTTGGTCTTCTATGCGACCTAAACGATCTTCAACATTAGATAATTTGTTCGTTAGAGCGCCTGTGATTTCGCTGACTAGACGAGCAAGATCAGCAATTGCCGTGATCACTGTGTCGGTATTTTCAGCGCAACTGCATGTCGTTGATGCTTTTCTGCTATCATGTACCTCTTCAGTTATTTTGTCGCTCGCGGATTGCACTGCCACCTAAAGCACCAAAGTTAGATAATCATCTAAACATATCTTTCGCAATCAGCACACCTACTATTCACGTACACCAACCTGCAATCCTGAAATAATTGGTGCTGGCGGCACCTGTTCAATTTGTTGAATCTGCACCGGCGGTATTTGAGTTTTTGGAAAATTTTGAGGCTGCAACTTCAAATGCTGCAGGATACTGGCGGCGTGGTTGGATATCGACGCGGGAAGCGCATGATTTTCTACCCTGGGCTTTATATTGCGCATTCTGTCTTGAGTTTGGGCCAGAGACCACACAGCCTCCTCACTGCGTTTCTGCATCTGCAGCTCGTGATGTTTTTTCGCCACTGCTGCCGCTGCTTCCGCCACAATGGAGATTCTTCGAGCCACAAATTGCCGAGACAGAAATTGATTAACGCTTAGCGCTGGAAAACACAAAAATTCATCGCGTAATAAGCGAAAAGCGCTCTCCACAAAGCGCACGTCTGTTTTGCCGTACAAATCGTAACCTCGGTCGACTAGGAATTGAGCCACAAGTAGCGATGAGTCTAGAAGCACATAGTGCAACACGCGCAATAGATCCGACACATCTCCATTTTCAAGACGTAAAGCACTTAGCTGTGGGTATCGGGCAGCGCGCAAAAGGTTCCGCAATCGTTCGGCAGCATTGCGTACAGTCTCTCTACTCATATAATCGATATTAATTTTTGGTTGTCAAGGATGTTGAAAGGGTGGTGATGTAATACAAAATAAAAAACAAATGGCTTGAATAATATTGGTAAAATCAAATTGACATTTTATGGTTGGCCCGATTTAATCGACCCGCCGATTGTCGATTGACGGCGAACATGAAGCGAGTTGTACATGAACGAGTCTACAAATCCAGCGATCTGATAGCATCGCAGCAAACAATCAATTTCTTGTGACTATTTTGCGTGAGTCAAGATACGTACCGAGATCACGCCGCCAATTATTGCGCATATTTTGGTCAAAAAGTGAGTGAGCGGAACTCGATCATTTTCAACCTTAACCATAAATGGAGAGATTTCAAACACAAAAAATGTTCCTGCAGCACAAAAGAAATGCATTGGTTAAAGTTTTTGTGTAAATTTGCCACCTGATGTATACGTTCGTTTACCTGGAAGTGACGTCATCTGCCCAAACGGATCGAAATAATTGCTCTGCTGGGTCACAGAAAACTGCCACAACGAAAAACAGACGAAAATGTCAGCGTTAGATGCAGATTCAAAGTGTACTAACCTGGTACGAATGAAAGGCATTTTCGTTGATTTTGTCGCTATAAATTGTCGGGACGATCTTGATGTAGTACTGAAAAACGCCACCAGCTGTATGACACGAATTATTGTATCTCTTCGATTAGTCACCAGACCAGCTAACGTCAAAAGATGTACGGTCACGCACCTTGCTCAGCAGTCTTCCAGACACCGTCAAGAGGCCCAGTGACGCCAGGAACGGGATCACCGAATGACAAACTGTGGATTATGTGGCTTGAATTGTAGGACTGCTCTTGGCCGGGTCGAAATTGGTGCACAAGTCGTCCCTGACGATGAAACGTGCGTCCAAGCGCAACGTGAAAGTTGCCAGCCACACGATTTACTAGCATTTTACCCGTGAAGCGGCACCCTTCGCCATCTTGAGCTCGTTTCTCAGTCTCGATGGTTTCACGCACGCACTGTTCCTTACTTTCAGCCTCTTCAAGTGACTGGTCACTATGAATAAAAGCCTCCTTCACCTCGTCACAGGTATTGCAGCACACTTTGCCCGCCGGATGCTTTGCTGCATAGCAGCTACCACAATAATCAGTCGGCAACTCTGTCTTGGTAAGCTCCTCAGTAGTCGTGGAGATGGGGATTCCTCTGGCGTCTAGTCGCGTCTTGATGATCGTTTGATGCATATTAACCTGCAACTCCCCGGCCACATCCATGGCGTTGATGTGTGCGTCATGGCAGTTAATTGCCAGATAGCTCACATCTAGGTTCACTTGAAGCTTTTCGCCCAGTGTTGAGTCTACTACCATGTGCTCGTGAGTGTAGACGCGCAAGTATGCGCTCAGCTCTGATAAAAAGAGGGCGATCATGATGATGCCAGCTACGATGGACACTGTGGCACCAACTTCTGTTTGCACTTTAAATTCACGATGCATCTTAGGATACACATCCACATTTTTCAAAACACGACGCGCTGAGCGGGCGACCACATTCTCGTTTGCGTGATCGCCGTCATCGACGTCGCTCTTGACAGCGCGTTGACGCATTTTTTTATTATTATTTGCCGCGTGGACTTGGTGCTTGAGGTACAGGACGCTATTGCCACAAATGTACAGTCTTCAAGTAGAGATGGTGTTAGACACTTATATTATTTTTGAACGCAGTCAGAAATGAAGCTTATTAATTCCCAAGCGGACGCCAACACGATAAGTAACACTCTGGGGAGAAGGATTTGATCAATTAAATTTGTGTTGGACCTGTATCGCATTTGTATTTCGCGACATGGAGCTGTCGAGTTTAAGCGAAGAGGATAACGATGACGTTTGGGCGCTAGAATTGGAAGAGGAACTTGATTTAGCAGGTAATCTGATTGACTGAGACCTCATCAGGTGACGCACCATACAATTCTAAATAATATTTGTTGTGTGAGCGTAGCAGATCTAGATATGATTCAATCAGGAGATCAACTGGTAGCTGGAATTGAAACGATGGAAGAGGAGCAGGTGGCTTTGGATAAGCCGTCGATGGTCATGTTTTTGCCGCATGAGGTGCTCATTATCATCATCAGCTTTGGTCAAGTTGGACGCGTATGTAAATCCTGGAGTCTCGCCAGCATTGCAGTTGCCCGTCGTCGCTTCTCATCAAGACTCACCGACATTTTGCGACCTTTGAATGTTAACGCTCTGGCGGTGGCCCTTGACGTCGAGGCGGAGCTTCATGCTGCTTATGGGCAAAGGTGTGTGATTTAGATTGATTAATTTAGGATGAATGATGGAATGT